GATGGGGCCTCCCCAGGGCAGAGCAGAGGGGCAGGAGAACCTCCCTCGCCCTGCTGCCCACACTCCTCTTGATGCACCCCAGGATCCCATTGGCCTTCTTGGCACCCAGGGCACGCTGCTGGCTCATGGTCACCCTGTCGTCCCCCAGCACTCCCAGTCCCTCTCCGCAGAGTTGCTCCCCAGCAGCTCAGCCCCAGCCTGTACTGGTGCCTGGGGCTGTTCCTCCCCAGGTGCAGGACCCTGCCCCTGCCCTGGTTGAACCTCATCAGGTTCCTCTGTGCCCAGCTCTCCAGCCTGGCCAGGGCTCGCTGCATGGCAGCACAGCCTGCCGGGGTGTCCAAAGGCCGAAAGCTGAATCCAAAGGCTGCTCCAGCGCAGGGAGCAGGCAAGCACCATCCGGGCTGACGAAGCACGTGCTGTTGCGGGGCAGGCGTTCGGCAGGCGAGGCAGTGGGCACGCTGGCTGCGTGGCCGGGCGTGGGGCGGCTTGTGAAGAGCAGGTTTTGTTCACCCAGGGGAAGGTGTTTCCCAAGCTGAGGAAGCGGAGTCCCCAGGGCTCCTCCGAGTCTGCGTCTGACAAGGAGGATGACGAAGCCACAGATTACGTTTTCAGGATAATCTACCCGGGGACGCAGTCCGAATTCGGTGAGTGCGTCGGCAGAGCGTGGTCCGGGTGGGTGCTCACGGGGTGTCTGGGCAGCCGGGGCTGCAGCACTGTCAGGCACCCAGCACTTCACGCCAGGACGCGGTTCCAGAGATCGAGCTTTGCTTGTAGCATTACTGCCTTTTACCCAACGTCATGTATGGGTTGGGGGTTTGTTTTTTTATTAGCCTTTCACTTGCTACCGAGTCCTTCGTTTCTGCAGCTGCACAACAGGCCATGACTGCCTTAATGCTTAGGAAAAAAATTCTTGCACAGAATTTCAGCAGTAAGGTTTCCTTTGGTCGCGTTCCTTGGGGGTCACTTTTCGCCTTCACAGGCCTCCAGGGCTGGTTCTTCTCCTGCTGTCACCAGGCCAGCTCGGCAGGTGCTGCTTTGAAGCCAGCTATGGTCCTTCAGCATTGCTTCTGCGGGCGAAGGAGAGGTTCCAGCGCCCTTCTCCATGTAGTGCCAGGCGTGACCCGTGTGTCTGCGCTCCCTAGCTCGCAGGGCGAGGGAGAGGAGGCTGCTGGATTCGCCAGACCAGGAATATCTCTTAACGGCTGGTTGCAAATGGCTGGAGTGACTCTACATTTGTCCTCACTCTTCTGTGGGGTACGAAGAACAATTTTTTGTCCTCCGGGAACATCGCAGGTGATTTCATAAGGGGGAAAAGCAAGAGTGCAACAGAAGATCTGTGGAGTGCTTTTAAACAGCTGTGAAATTTGATCAAAAACTTGTTCCTTTATTTCTGAGGCTAGGAGGGGGCAATCGCATCCCCTGTGACTCCTCCGTAACATCAGTGAAGATTACACTCAGCTCTCCCTGCCTTTAGCTGACTAACACAATTCAGTGAGTCAGATAAAAATCTGGTTGAGGCTACAGCAGCAGATAGAGATGCTCCTTTCTGTAGCTTCCTTTTGATCTACCCCTTAAAATTACGTGCTGGGGGCCAGATTTTCTGTGAAATGAATTGCTGCAATCTCCTCAGCTGGCATCATCAAGTCTATGTGGTTCCTGTGGATCTTCCCAGAGGGGGGTGGAACTGCGTCGGTTCTTTTTTCTCTACAGGTTCTTCCTTTCTCCCCTTTCATTTGTGCCCCTGTCCTCTCTCTCTGTCTCTAGTTACCATTAATGGTAATTTTCATCCATTCCTTGCATCCGTGATCTCCATCGCTGCTGTGAGAGGGAAGATGGCAAGGACTCCAGCTGCAAGCAAGACGCTGGTGATCCCTAAATGGTTTCCGAGCCTCCCCATCGCGTCCCGAGCTCCCCTTGCTGCGCTGGGGGCCTCTCGGTGTCAGTGTAACGCGGCTGTCTGGGTCTGGTTCTGCTGCCTGCCCGTGTTGTCACTTGCCAGTTCCTGCAGGGGTGTCCCCTGCCACCGCTGCCCGGCACCGAGCCGTCAGCTCCTGCTCAGTGGCAGGGAAACAGGAATATTTCAACGTTTCGCTTGCTAGTATCAGGTACTCGGTATCACAAGCAGGGAGAGTCGGTGAGACCCAGGGCGAGTGAGGAAGCCCCGTCCCAGCTGGAAGCTGGAATTTCTGCCACGATTTAATTTCCAAGGAGGTGCAAATGGGATTATTCTCCATGAATCTTCGTCCGCATCTCACAGTCCACCTTCTTCGTGATGGCCTTTTCCTAGGGAGGCCCAGGAGCGAAGGGCCGGGGCGGTTCCAGGGCAGGACAGCAGCCGAGCTGCTCTCGCAGCGGCTCTGCGCCTGCTCGGGCTGCGGGGCGATGCCTGAGCGGGACCCGAGGCCGACGCAGCAGCGTTTCCGAGTTTAAGCAGGGATTTAGCAAGTGACAACATGAAGAACGACTCGCTTCTGCTGTCCCTCTCAACCTTTTCATCAAAGTCTTTGCCTCCTGTCTTGTGATTTGGGTGCTCTCTTCTTTCCCTGAATCTTAGATGGGATCCTAATCTTTGAGAGCTGGGGGCTTTTCCCTTCCAGTGATCCACTCTTCCTGGGGCAACCCTTGATTTCAATCCCCTTTTTTTTGATCTGTGTGACAATCTGTTGCAGCCCCTTGTCTTGAGTCTCTCTGGGCTGGGTGTTTGGTTTCTGCGTTGGTGGGCGCTCAGCCGTTTAAGATGAGCTTGCTGGAGGCACTGTGCTTCATGAGCAGATGGTTTTCTCTCACTCTCTCTCATTGATGCTCTTGTTTCCTTTTCGTTCTCCTGAGCTCACGGGTGCTGTGATTACCTGGTGTGGGTCCTGCCTGGTTGCTGGAGTCTCCTTGGGCAGAGCGTGAGATGCTGCA